TCATCTAGTATTATTGTAAAAGCACCCAGTTAGAACTGGCCTAGAGCAGCGTTTCTGGGATGGTAAATGAGCACTAACACACAGGCTCAGGCTGGAGCAGTGTTCACTGAAACCTGTGCCAGCACACAGAGCCCACCAGGAAAGCACTGCCATGGGAGCACAGAGCTGCTGCACCAGCCTTCCTTCCACAAGAGAAATGTGCCAATACCTCAGAGAAAAACTGTAAGATGCTACTCACAGTTCCAGCACGACACAACAGCAGAAAATCTTGATTGTGGAAACTATTCCTTGTGCTAATATGTCAGCATTACATTCTGTGTGAATTCCCAATGAACTACAATTTCTGTATGAAAATACACTTTCAGTGATATAAACAGAAGTAATGAGCAATAACAAAACATATTGCCTGACATCAGTTGATGCCAAATGTTTAGACATTTTAGTGGATACCTGCCTCATTATTTGTTTTAGCTGTGACTTGCTAGGATTGCTACAGATTTTATATTTCATCTCCGTTGATTCTCAAATATCTACCATTACTATGTCCTAAGCAAGGCTATTGGTTGCTCACTCTTGCCTATTTTATAAAAATAAAGCAAGATTCCAGGTCATAAAAATATCGTAAGATCTCCAAAGATAAAGAGTTAAGGAAGATGTATCTTACCAGGCTTGAGCTGAGTGTGTGCAAACCTCATGAAGTTCAACAAGTACAGTCTATTCAAACTAGCATTTAAAACTTAAAATCTGAACAAAAAAGCCCCAAAACCCATAAGAAGCAGCCTAATTTTATTACAAAGCAGAGGTAGAAACCTGTATTTACTGTCAGCAAGCTGTAAGACTTCCTCTAGAAATTGCTCTAAATCTGGGCTAATAATTGAAGTACTGACAGTAATATTGTAAACAGACAACCCAAATAATACACACAGAGAAAATTTTCTGGTTTGAGGTGTATTAAAAAATCAGCTGTTCTGAGGCTATACATATATATCCATAAATAACAATATAGTCTTGGAATTTGCTGTCAGTTTAGGGATGGGCAAATAAATACAATCCTTTACTGATGTTTAAGGGCAAAGGCAAACACACATTTCTTTGTTATTGAATTTAGAATATTTCTTCAGCCTTAATGAAACCGTAGCTAATCTACAAATGGAAAGATAAAATCTCTAAATCCCAGAATTCTTGATTGCAATCTGACACCTATCTTCTCTTTATACTCTCACTCACATGAGCTATCTACACAGCAAGTATTTAGCCTCTATAAAATAGGCTTCAAATAAAGCTGAATTAACTAATGGGTAATAATGGTAAAAAAATTAAAGAGTATAATGACAGCATCACATGAACAATTGAAACTTTATGCTTGAAGTCCTTGTGGAGCAAGAGTTTTTTATAGAGTTGAGCTGATTCTTACTCCACATAGTATTTCATCCATTGCCAAAGATGGATTAATGCCATTTTAAGGATGTGGATTAGACAGGAAGCAACAAGATAGAGAATTTACATAAAACAGAGCCACTTTTTGCTTTCAGCATTTACTTTCACATACAAATGTGGAATTATATAAGGTTGGCATTTGGATGCAAAACCATTCTCTTCCCATTTCTGCAAACAACAGGGAAGTTTCTGTAATTCCAGGAGATTTACTGGCTGGCTCTCCACTGCAGGGATGCCACACATGGAGGGGAACAGCCCTCACACATCTGTGACAGAGCTGAATGCTGGTGAGTTCAGAAACAAAGCCTATACAGAGGAGGCAGTGTGCAACAGCAGCTATTTTAGTTATCATGGCATTGCACAAATAAAAAAAAGTAGTTTTAAAACTAATTCACTAGTCTTATCATGCATATATTTGTGACTTCAATTAGTCAAGTACATATTTCATTCTCCTTTTAGTGTAAAGAAGGAAAAAAACCCTCAAAACCAACCTTTTTTTTCCAGCTTCTTAACCCTCACTTCCTCCAAGCCTACCTAAAAGGCCCCACATGCAAGCTCAGGAAATCTCCCTTTTCAAGTAAACACATCCTACCCCAAGGTGCATTATCAGGGTAGACACCTATGACTGGAAAATAAGTCAATGTCTGTTTTTCCTTTTTGCACCACTTGGAAACAATCTCCATCTGGAGACAGCATAAACTTAATTTTACAGGGGCGTCCTCCTCAACAAACACACCAGTATGTTTACCACAATAAATAAGCATCTTATTTATTGTGGTAAACAATAAATAAGAGATTCTTCTTACTTTGCACATAGCCAAAAAAAGCTAACTCAGGTAGGTAACCTCATCCTTTGATTACACTCAAGTTCACACAATTTCCTCTCTTTTCTCAGCTCTTTCCCTCTCAATAGGCAAAAACCTTTTCTGATTCTTACAACAGTAACTACTCTATCAGCTGTGTTCCCTTTCTGTGCTGCTCTGTTTCATGGCAGTTGCAGTTTCCTTGAGTTATTCTGTTCTTCCCCTTAGTCCAATAACCTTCACTGAACAGCATTCAATGTGCCCCTTCAGGTAATTCACCTCAGGGTACTTCTTTTTTTCTGAAATGCACAAATTCTGTACTGTCTGTAACACAGCACTGATAAGAGCTGAACTGAGGATGTGATACCCAGCACAACACTGCAAACCAGAGCTATGGGAAAGGCTCAGAGCCCACCACAGCTCCTGGCAGTGGTAGCACAGGTACCTGTAGTATTTAGCATATTGGATAATGTGGTACATGATCCATGAGCAAGATGCTGCTGCAATTATCAGGGTCATTGTGATCTAGCAAGTGCTGCTTCTTTCAAGATCAGAAGAAAAATGCAAAGGAAAAATGGAGAATATGCAACATTTCTGTCAATTTTTTGGTCCTATCCTGCCAATAGATTTGGAGCCTGTTTCATCTTCATGCCATGGAGTGCACCCTGCTGCTTGAAGTTAGGGTGCATGGAACTGTTTTGAAAAGTGTTTATGGTGTAATTTTTCATTTTTCCTCTGCTTTGTATTCAATCGTTTCCTTTCTTTCTTGTCCAGATTCCCTGAGCTCTTACTGAGTCCTCGCATGGCTTATTCACTCTTACCCCTAGATCTCACCTGCACTCACTTTCTGTGTCATTGCACCCACCTCCACATTTCTTCTTTAGCAACTTTCTTCTGTAATCTTCATCTTGCCTTTCTTCAGTAGGTTTTTGCAATCAAAGTCTTGTCTCAGTAGATCAGAGATGAGTTTCCACACTATCAATGTACAAACTGGGCCAGAACACAAGTCCTTGTCACAACTTGTACAGCACATATTGAACTTTACAAGTACTTAACAGGTATGACACCAGTTCAATGACTGCCACTGAGTAGTAATTAGGTTCACTGGTAAGTTGATAGAATCATAGAATTGGGAAAGATCTCTAAGGTCATTGACTCCAACCATTTACCCAGCACTGTCAGTTCACCACCCTGTCCCAAAATGCCACACCTACATGTCTTTTAAACACCTCCAGGTGTGGTAGAGTGATTCCACCCTTTCCCTGGGCAGCCTGTTGCAATGCTTGGTAAGTCCTTTGGTTTTTCCTAATACCCAATCTAAACCTCCCCTGGTGCAAATTGAAGTAATTTTCTCTCAAGCTGTCACTTGTTACTTGGGAGTATGATCCCTACCTGGCTACAACCTCCTTTCAGGCTATAGAAACTAATAAGAGTCCTCTGAGCTTCTTTTTCACCAGGCTAACAAGCCTCAGTTTCTGAGTTGCTCCTCACAGGACATATTCTCTACACCCTTCATCAGCTTCAGTATTCTTCTTAGGATGTGCATTTAAAAGTTAAACCTATTAAAGAACATATTCTACCAAAGGGGCTAAAAGTTGCTCAAGGTGCTAAACATTCCTTTGTTATCTGATACACAGAAATCTCATCATCCTAATATTATTAAACAGATTTTCTACTTTTACTCCTTACTTTGAAAATAAGAAAAGGCCAGGTTGGATGAGGCTTTGAGGAATCTGATCTAGTGAAAGATGTCCCTGCCCATGGCAGGGGAGTTGGAACTAGATGATCTTTAAGGTTGCTTCCAACACAACTCCTTCTATGAATCTATGACAGTGTGGCCTACAAACCCTTAAAAACCTACACCTACATCTGAAGGCTTCCACAGTAATTTCCCAGAAAATTCTTCTTGCAAACCAATTACTTTGAATCAAAATAAAATGCAAGGAAAGGACTATGAAGGGTATTCTATATTATTACTGCATAGTAACTTGGAAAGGAAGCTATCAAGCCATGAAAGAGTGAAATCTCTCTCATTTCTGATGCCAAGACTCCCAAGAGCCACTATGAGTTATAAGAAACCATAAATGCTCCTGTTGAGGAACACATTCAGTGCAGGTAGCAAGGTGAGCAGCTGCAGTGTGAACTGCAGATTGAGCTCCGAGTGGTGGGAGCCCCAGGCAAGAGGCTGAGAAATGCCACCCTTCACACAGGAAAGGGCCTGGGGACCTGTGGCAGCACTGGACACTCAGAGATGAGGCAGGAGCTGAGGATCCCCAGACTTTGTGTGCTGGGCCTGTGAGGGTATAAAAACCCAGGAGTTCCTTTGTACAAGGTCCCTCATCAGAGGCAGCAGCTTGAGCTGCTATTTTGTTGTTGCACCAAGTTTAAATTATTTTAAGGACTGAGACCTGTGCTATGGGAATCCTGGGGCCAGGGAGTAAAGGAACCTTGTCTGACTGTGTGAGTGTGGGGGGTGTAGGGAGACAAGCAGGGCAACCCTGGGCTCACTGGAGCTGCCTGCTGTGAAGGGGCTTCAGTCCCAGCTCAGGTGCTGCAGGTGTGGCTGCCAGAGTGGCACCTGGATGGCTGGACAGAGAAGTTTCCCTAAGACACTTGGAAACTGTGGAACAAAACAGGCTAATTTTCAGGGCTTGAAAATGCTGCATCATGTACTTTTGATCTGATTAAGGATCATGAGGAGTTTCCCAGGAAATTAAGTTTTTAAACTTTTCTACTTATATAAAGGCATGCTAGACAAGCTGTGACAAATCCAAAAATATAAATGTACTTTACTATGCCTATTACCTGTTAATAAAAAAATAAAGAATTAGAAATACAGGAGAACTTGTAAACCAACTGCAAAATAAGATGCACAGAAATGAGGAAAATCCCCCCATACTGTACAGATGTTCACGCACTAGGCAGCCCCAAAGTCAATCATAGATTCTCTTATGTACATAAATCTAAACACAAGTTGCAACATTTCATTATTGTATATGTTTTTTCTTCTTAATCATCTGAGACTGCCTTAGCTCCTCAGTCCCATGGGCATATGGGCAAGCTTCAGAAGGTAAAGAACAGCCATCAGGATGATGAATGAAAAACCAACAGAGGCGTGTTTTAAATGCTTCAGCTGAAAGGCGCCGTTTCACTTCAGGTTTAGTTTTACTTGGTGGTTTCTCTTTTCTCCAGTCACGAATATGAACTCTCCCATTTAGAACTAAGATTTAAAAACAAACAAAAATGTAGCTGTTAATAAGAGATCCATGACTATTATACTGGAAAAAATTGTAGTGACATTCTGTGAATGAAAAACATTCTACAAATGGATCACTCAGGCAAAACCACCTGAGCCATTTGTACAGAAATAGAGAGAAGTACACAACAAACTACTACAAAGATAATGCAGACACAGTAAAAAGAAGACTTGATTAATTTCCCTGAGAGATGTTTCACTGCAATGCTGAATAGTTTGAGGCACCTTTGCATCATCTTTGTAGACATTTGTTATTCATTTTAAATATAGCAGTTGGGATCATTGAGACTAAAATCATCTGAACTTAGATTGCAAGTTCTAACTAAAGTTTCAACTTTAAGAACTATAATTCTTCCCATGTTTTTAACTTTATGATTCCACATCTAAAATGTGATTACCAGCAAGTGTCTTCTGCTGCTTTCACAGTTCACTGACCCAAAAACACACAGCACCAAGGAGATGACAAGTCTAATCCTTCATGAGAACCAACACTGAATTATCATTGGTTAATAAGGATTCAGCACTTTGGGCTTTTCAAATTAGTTTGCTGTGTTAGGGCCATAAACTGCACATGTACACCCTTGTGAATCTCTGTCAACTCTTTAAATGAGTAAACAGATAAAAGGAAATTAGCCAGAGAGGAAGGAAAAAAAAAAAAACCAGATGATAAACAACAGTGAAAATGAAGAGGGAAGAATCTGCCACTTTTAAGTTGCCATGCTCTACTTTCATATTCTGCTTCAAACACACCTTCTGTCTCAGACACTTGTAGCTTGGGATAGTTAACTAATTCCATTCTGCATTCTGATCATTGCTATTCAAAAAGTAACAAGTCCAGTGACAGCTGAATATCACACAGTCTGCCCTGGATGAATTAATGTCTCCAGGTTTCCTTGTGATACACAGACAGATCTGAACTCATAGTAAGCCAATCAAGAAGCAATTTCAGCTGAGCTTTAAAATCCCTCACAAAAGAGGAAGAAAAATTAACAGGTATTTATTATCAAACATAATTTTTCCCTAGAAAACCAGTCTTGTATTGGACAAGATACCTGATCTAAAGAAACTGCCACCGATCAATTATTTTAAGACCCACTTTCTGTTTGGTGTGTGTACATCCATCCACTTCCATGTTTTAAAATAAAAAAAAAATCAGTAAAAATGACAAAAGAGCTGTAGCTATGTTCTTCTCTGTCCTCCTGGGCAGGAGCAATGTCCTTGGAGACCAGCAGAAGTTTCTTGTTATGGTGACATGCTACTAAGGGAGGAATCAAGTGGTCCCTCCCCAGGCCCTGTGACATAAATTACTGAGATGGTCTGACCTAATCCCAGTCTTTTCTTCATAGGTAATGTGCACACAGCCTCCAAGCCAATTTAAAATGCTCATTCCATTTACAATATAACATATTGCAAAACCTATTTCAGCTATTCCTAATGATAGGAAACCAAATTCAGACATACAAACAACTCCACATGACCAACTCTTTTTAATGGATGGTAATTCAGGAGGATTCTATCAGCCAAGTGTACACAAATATTTAGTGGATGCTAAACTTGCTTAAGTTGACCACTGGCAACAAACAGGTTGCATACTCAGGATTACTTTCCATGGATTAATTCATCAGTATTTTACAGCAGACATAGACATAACACATTTTGAAATTTGAAGCAGCTTTAATACTGATAAAACCTTGAAGATCTCGTATTACTGCAAAGCTACATTTTAGTTTTGCAAAACTTCACACTCACAAAAAAGCCCCAAAGCACAAATTACACAAAGCACACTGTCACCACACATTACAACAGGGGAAAAAAAAACAAACCCAAAAAACTGCTATCAACAAACCCAGCCAGCCACAGAGACTTGCTACTGAGTTCTTTCTGCCATGCTACCACAAGCTGCACAAACACAAGCTTTATAAACACATCAAGCCTCATAATTATAGGTTCTTAAGGAGACTAATTTTGTTTCATGTCAGCATTTACACTTTGGGCATGCATTTACATTTCATGTCAGCATTTACACATTTCATGTCAGCATTTAGCCCCGGCTAAATGCTTTAGTAATATTGCTCTGTATTTCACAGCCTCAAAACCATCAGTATTTCATAGGAAGAAACAAGAATAAAAAGTCAAAGACTGGCATCAAATCAGCCACCTAAACTAAAGGCTTATCTTTTCAGATACAGTCAGTGCAGAACATTTTGCTGATAGATGCATTACCAATCTCAATTCATAAGAGCTTTACTAAAGCAATGGGCACATAAAGAATATTCAGTTTTCTACAAAGATACAAAAAATAGTTAAAAAACCACCAGAGTAATTTTTCAGTTAAGTTTAACTGCATATAGAGGAGATAAATAATTAAGGAGAAAAAAAAAAACAACTCAAAACTCCTTTACCTTCAAATACTTGATGATTGTTCTTGAGTAGTGTCTGCAGGCCTCCATATTCACTTTTCAGCTTTTTTAAAATCTCTTTATCCAAGTGTTCTGCCACTTCTCTCAAGGAAAGGCTTTCTGCAATAAAAAAATGGTAGAATGATTAAAAACTTTTCTCTATAAAACCTTAATACAATTCAACTTCTATTCAAGGTAATGACTGTGAGCAGAATGTCAAAATTATCTACCAGGACTGCAGCAACTTTTTTCCCAATATGATGTATGGTATATATTTTATATGTATATTGTCTGTAAAACAGCAGCTTTCATTTTGCAGGACTCAGGTCAGAATTTCTACAGTAAGACACTTTTTATTTGCTCTGCATTTTTTACAGTAGCATGTAACCCTCAGTGCAATAAGCACTGTTCATAAGCATGTAGTTAAGAAGACTCAGTCAGTAACATATGACTTATTACAGTGAGTAAATTATAAAACAGATGGAAGAAAATGGAAAGATGGTAGTAGTGATAACTGACTGCTTATACAATTAACAGCAGCTTAACATTCTTTTTGTTCCTAAAACTAAACTAAAAAATCCTAATCATGTTGTTACGTAATGGCACTTCAAAGGACTTCTTACAAACTCTTACAGAAGTATAGCTAATTATTATGTTAATATTCTAAACCATAATATTCTCCACAAATAGGGTAGAGTTGTGGGTTTAGTTTGGTTTGGTTTAATAAAAATCGATTCTATAACAGTGTTTAAGTGTAAATGAGGAAAAAAACTCACATCAATTTCAAAATATTCTTCTACATGCAATAAAACATAGTGGAAAAAAAAAGCACCTTTGATTGCTACTGTATTGTTCCCAGTGTTTCCTAAAAATCTAAATTCACAAACTTGTAAATTTGCTGGAAAAGACACGTTCTGCCAGCTAAAGATAGTGTAAAGGAAAGATAACCTCACCTCCTTGATTCCAGGTATTCATATTTCCACCCTGTTTATCAGAACATGATTTCTGGGGGGCTGCATTTAACAGCAAGTTTGCCACATTGAGAACCACTTCATCTACAAAGTCCCGAGGGAGGGAAGCACAATTTCTGACTTGTTCTACTTTTTCTCTGGGTCGAAATCCAGGCATCCAAATTGTACCAGCTGTTTCAGTCTCATCTTCAGGAGGCTCTGAGCCTGCTTCTTTGCACAGACCACCACAGTGATGCTCATGGTTAAATCCAACCCTTCTGTCACATGTGGCCCCAGCACCGGTCCGACGACTGTTAATAAACTGTGTTATCTGCTCATCAATCAGAGCACGTTCTGCAGCTGGATAGGTCCTGCTTTTCCCAACAAAACTGACCTATTTTGGCAGAAACAAGTAAATCACTATCAGAGTCCTGTATTTACACCCAGCCCCACAAACTCCACATGTTTATGCAGGGTTCTCACTACCTACAATAAAATCTAATATCAACTCAATGCTCAGTAACACCTGAGGGGTTTTTAATTCCAGTCTTTGAATATTGGTGCCCCAGAAGAAATCCAGTAAACAAATCATAATCCATCATGCTATAAAATCACACAGCAAAAAATCTTGTTTCTAACCCTCAGATTATTTAAAGCTGGACACCTCTTCCTACTCTGAAAAGACTTCACTTTGAATTTCACTGGACAAGAAAAACAGCAAAATTAAGTACAAAGTAAGGCAACTAGAAAAATTAAGGTAGAAAAAAAGGTTTTTCAAGTTTTTCATCATATAGAGTGACATAAGAGAAAATCATGAAACATTTCATTTTTTCCTGTTTTTTTTTTTTTGGGGGGGGGGGGGGGGGGACTGTACCTATAACATTAAGAGAATAATTCCCAAGAAAACAATGAGTATTTTTAATCTCTTTTCAGAGCATACTGTATCAAGTAATGAAGCTGACTATAATCTTATCTTACAAAAATAACAATGAACAAACATCCACACGCTTCAAACAGAGCAGATTAAAAAAACAAGACAAAAGCTCTACAGAGGCCAAAATTACCCTTTTTGTTGATGGAATTCTAAGGCAATCTTCTTCCACATGAAAGCCACATACAAATCCCACTTGGGCAACAAAATCTAGATATTCTCTGTACTGAGTTTTCTTGCTTTGTCTTCGGCTGTATTTTCCATGGAAATCAAAGAAGCAGCATGGCAGCACAAAGTAACAACATGAATAGGAAGACCTACAAGAAGGATAACAAACTGCTGAACAGTAAGTTATTTCAGAAAACAAACATTTAACAAACAACCTATCAGATAAAAGCAACAATGGAAATTTTATTAAGCTACAGAGCTTCATGCAATAATATTTGTAACTTCGTCTTTCAATCAAATTATCAATTTAGTCAAAATTACCATTTCACAAAGTATTTGATGCAGCAACCTACTTTGCCAACTTAGTTTGCAGAAGTAAAACTAAATTACTTTTGCTGGTGGTAAAGAGCACAACAGCACAAGGGAAGGCAGAACCATAAGCTTGTATTTACAAGAAGAAAAAACACAACAAAAAGCCACTCAATTGCTTCACATACAAGGAATAAAAACAGTTTTGGTTTTTGAATGTCAAAAGCAAAATACTGCACTGCATTCTATGAGAAAGTAAATGCTGCATCTGCACTTCTCTACAAAAACACTTTGTAAAAATAATCAACTTGCATCAAAAGCAAGTCTTAAAAGAACAACTGGTGTGGAAACAAAGCTGACAGTTTTTATCAAGCTTACATAGGTAATAATGGGGGGGGGGGGCTGTTTGGTTTTTTTCTGTTTGTTTTTTTAATTCAGTCCATCCCACTCCCCTCCCTCTGCAAAAATACCTAGCTGCAATTACAGGTATCCATGGTGTTAATTCATCTGAATGGTTTCCTATGAGCCAGTCAGTGTCTGGAAAGAGATGACTGTCACCTGGAATGATTGTAACTTCCTACAAAACAGAACAACACAGCAAGTGAATGCTATAGCATGTTTCTTTAAAGCATTTTATTTAATATCAAGTAATACCGGCTGACAAATACAAGGTGAGTGAGCAGCACAGACATCAACAATGTTCTCCTCAGCAATTTTTTATAGCTACAAAGAAGTAATTAAACAAAAAACACCCACAAAACATGGGTCAGCAAAACAGTAGAATAGCAACTCTGATTAAGATATCTGGCATTTAAATATATTATGTATATAAACAAATATATATATATTTATATATATAAACAAATATCATACACTAAATTATGATTTCTTGCCAATCTCCTTCTGTCACTTGTATGCCTGAACTTGGTTTTTCAGAAAGGCACTTAATTTGCCATCTTGCAGTCTGTAGGACTCACATCCACAACTAAGAGGATGAATTCCTCATACAGGCTAAATTCAAATGTTCTGCAGTGGCTATTATGTTTGTGCTTCACAAGTACATTTTCTCACTTTGAACTAAGTTCAGCAGTGAAAGTACTGAAAGATGCTGACACCATGCAAGTAGACACTCTTCCCTGAAAATGTGTATGAACATTAAAAGAATTATTGGGCAAATTTGAAAAAAGTTTTAGATTTGAATTTCCACAGTCTTTTAGGAAAAGTTTTGGAAATTACACCCATAATCTCTTTTTATATAGAAAAGATATGTTTTAAGAACTTAAAATTCACATGTACATGCATCACATGTATCTGTATAAGAATTAAAGAATAAAATAAACCAAAACCACTAATTAGGGAATTTCAGACTATCTTGTTTACTTTCCAAATCCCTCTTAAGGATTAACACGGTGATTGTTCACTTAAAATTGTTCCCTTTAAATACTACAGCTCATTTTTAGATATGCATAAACATTTCTAGATAATGAATGTAACAAGTTTTTTTGGCAGATTACTGGATGTTAAATTACCAAGGCTTTGGTAAGTGTTTTCTTAAGGTTGATTAAACACATTGCTCATACTTTACATTTCAGTTTTGATCATTCAATTTAGGCATAGCATGAATTATCAGTGCCCCACTGCCCATTCTGACAGTCACCCCAATCCAATTTGTATTCACCGTGTCTGACAGCAGTTTGGAAGCACAGAGTGCCACCTGTTACATCCATTTAGGTTAGAACTGTACTGAACCCCACAGGTGGCAACAGCTACCCTGCAACTCGTGCTGGAAGTAAAGATCAAAACAAAATTAGCTACAGGGGCAACAAACTGTGAGCAGGTTCTTTTTCCTTCTGTGGCTACATGAGCCTTGCAAAATCATTTCACCCTTCCTGTTCCTGGTCTAATTCCTTCCGGCATCAATCATCACTTTCCTCAGCATATATTTTATTGTTTCTAATCTTTCTAGGCAGAAATAGGAACATGTAATACAAAGACAGAGAGACAATGCTGTTCATCATGATCAGATGTGACTTAACACAGTACAAGAAGAATGATGGAGCACCACAGCTTGATGGTTTGGGTTGTTTGTTGAAGCTTTTCGGTGAGATCTGCTTGCAGACTGCAGTAAAGGAATATGGCAGTTTTGGCAACTTGTACGCAAAATAGCAGGGTGGAAAAGAGAAGGCTACACAACACTGAAATCTGTGATGTCCCATCTGTGAAAATTGATTTTCTTTCCTAATTTAATGAGTTAGCACCCTCATTGTTGAATGAACAATTCATAATATGTTGAATGAACTTTAAAACAGCACTAGAGAACAACCACAGGTGGAAAATTATTTTACTATATTGGGAGCTGAAAATTTTGACAGAACAGAGTAAGAAATTCTAGACCTGAAGAACAAAAAACCAGGAACACGTCACCTCCCAAGGACAACTGCTCATTGGCACCATGATTTAATGAGTATCAGATTATTAGATTTAATCAGTATCAGAATCAAAGTGAATGCTCCTGTGCTCAAATAGTTCATGAAAATGATAACATGAAACTTGAAATATAATCCCTTTTGCAGACTCATTTTCCTGTTCATTTTTGAAGGCTTTTATTGCTATTATTTATGTTGGCTCCTTTGAGGTTCAACAACAACTTTGCCCCCTAAAAGAGAACATAGCACTAGAAGGTCAGAATCATTTTCATGTAATTATCACAAATTATGAGTGCCTTCATTATCTTGTATGAACTAGTGGTGCAAATAAAGCTGCTTAATACTGATCATCTGGTAAAAAGAAAGCTTGTTTCATGGTGTGCATGTCTGTACATGCAGTAAGAAATCATGCCAGTGGTTTTTGGCTGAGAAACAAACAAGTTGCAAACATGCAAGGGTACAATACAATATTTTTCTCATATTTTTCTCCCTTTACAACTTACTATACCACCAAGAGATATGGGTAGCAGCATAACAAACCCATGGGTCCCTTTAGACAACTGTGTGTAACCAGTGTGCTTCCTTACACTTGCATCAATACATCCTGAAACAGTGAACAAATGAATAAATGTACAGATCAGTAAGACTGACATACATTTGCATAATACCTCTAAGTGTGTCTCTGGTCCATACATGTCCCATATTTTTCTTCTCCTCACATCAATTCCTCTTCCTGGATGCTGAAATATTTGAACAAAAATATTCCATTTAAGTACTACTTTTTTCAGAAATTTCAAGTAAGTTCAGTAAATGTACACACTAACTTCAATTATTTCATTCCTGTTAAGATTTAGACACAGAACAAAAACCAGCTTTGCCATTTCAGCTGAACACTTTTATTCCCTTTCTTCCCTTTGAAATATGAAGGGAATAATTAGGAAACCTTAAGAATATATCTGGTTGAAAATTTTACCTGGGCACACCTACTGAGACTGCTCTTGAAAATCTGTATCTCTAGAAATGTAAAAACAGAGGTGTTGATTTTTGGTTTGTTTGTTTTTAAAATATCAAGGCCTTTCACAAGTTGAGTGCTACTGCAGCACCCACAGGGCTCAAAGAAAAATGCTACTCTAAGCAGGCCTTAGTGGAGAACCACCTATCAGCTACTGATACCCAAATACTTTTTTCCCCTGTCTGAATTAAAGGGAAGAGGAAATAGACTTGAAACTAAAGCAAGAAATGAAGACTGTGTAGTATTTGAAATCCAAGAACCTTGTGCAGAACTAAGAAAAATCAATTACTAAAAAAAGTCTCATAAAACTCTCATACATGATTTTTTTGACAGTCAATGTTTGTCAGCACTGAATGAATGACTGACTGATTGAAAAATCCACACAGAAAACAGCAGCTTATGGTACACAAAAGTTTTCTGGCCACACAAGAATAGAAATATTGTGCTAGGAGAACTTGGAACATTTCCCTACTCCCCCAGTGACATCTCTTTATCTAATAAGAGACATTCATTTCCTCTAAAAATTTCCCCATGTTCTCCCAAAAGTGGAAAATGCAATTTTCTGAATCAGACAGACCCAACTTCAATGGGTTTTGTTTAGTCTCACTGTTCTTTCATTGCTATTTCAGCAACTGTGCCTCAACAAACTGAATTATGCTGCTGCTACATTTTTACTCCAAAAAGTACAGTATGCTGTTAGGCATTTTTAATGAAGAAATCTCAGGACTGCTTTCAAAGATATAGAAAAACATTTTATGACATCACAAGTAGAATTCATTTTGGATAAAAATGAGTTCATGAACACGTCTTGTGAGAGGTAGAACCTATGTCGAAATTTCACATTCCTTTTTGCATAACTGAAGTACTCCATTACCTTCTTTAGTTTTCTTTTCTTTTTCTGAGAAAAAATAGCCCTGAATTTAAATTAAATACACTAATTAAGATAAATAAATGAATGGTCTAATCCTCTGGTAGGATTTTCTGTTAGTAACTAGAGGGACAAAATCCTGTTTTAGCAACATGAATTAATTTATTTTGGCTATTTGCATGCCAGATAAAAGGAAAGCATAACAAGAATATTGACACTAGTTTTTAATAATTATTTTAAAAATCATTCTATTTACCCCTTCATTGTTTAGAATATGAACCAGCAAACCATTTCCACATCCAAGATCTACAAATGACTGTTTCTTGGTCAATCCTTTTTCTTTCCTCTCTTCTTCCCAAAGAATCTAAGAAAAGAAAACAAAACATATTAGGCTTCTGCTCTCACATTTCCCTGTAAGAAACCATCAAATGTTATTGGAGATGACAGAGGAAAGCTGGAAATGCAGACTTGACAGAAAACATTCACTGCACTCACAGGTAAAATAAATTTAGAGAAAAAAAGAGAAAATCTGAAAAAAAAAACCAAAAGAAAAAAAACCAAAACAAAACAGAAAAACACTGTTTATGGAGTGAAACAAGAATTATTTTGCAGAATATCAATAGTTTTCTAAGTGCTAAGCACATCCTCCACTACATTTTGAGTCATTGGGAGTTGAAATTAATCAGGGCTTTACAGCTCTGGGCTAGAATGAACATAAATGTAAAATAAGTTGCTAAAACAAGGGATACAAGAGAAGAACAGTGGAAAGCAAGGGAAGTATCAAGTAAACTTCATCAGTGTCTCTGCAAGTAACACCACAGATGCATTTCTATCCACTGCATTAAAGAAAGCATTGCTGGCAGAGCTGAAAATAAACCCCAAAATATTCTTTGTGATCACTTCATGATACACTGGCACTTGCAATGTCCCTTTTACTGAACAAAGCAACAGTGTTACCTAGCAAGGTAACTGCCCCATATTCTACACCAGCTAAGGGACCCCAAAGCTTTCAGTCTAATTCCTGTCCCTGACCTGTACATAAGTAGGTACTTTTACCCAGATATATAAGCCATAATTAATAAGTGGCTGTTTCTCTGCAGAGTATGGATTAACCTTCACCATTTTCCAACTCTTTTTCCTTCAATGAGAAGTTAGAGATCACACATTTGTAACTCTGCACTCTGATTTTTCACTAGGACTACCAAAAATCTTGAAGAGTACTTAACTATGAAAATAAGTATTTGTAACATGGTGCATTTTGCTAGAAGGAAAAAAGCTGAAGATAAACACAGTCTGCTAATCTCATGGATTATGGTTTTAGATTTACCAATCATTGCACTTTGGCACTCCAGGCAGTATCCCAGAAATCCCTGATTACATCCTTCACAGATCCTATCCCCCAATTCCTGCAGGGTTTTTCACAACACAACAGCCATGCCCTTGGCCATGCCCCTGGATAGTGAGTGATGTCAACATGATTGGAAAATAAAATGGTCACATGCAGATGCCATAAATCCATAAAACTTAACACTGGACCTACTTCTTCTCATTCACCTGTATAATGTACTTCTAAACAATGAGTCTCATACACCATCAAATAGATACCTGAACACTTTGCAGCAGGTTAGGTTATTAATACCATACTTTTTCATTTACATAAACTGCATATTGAATTACTTTAATGACTTTCTGATAACTACTGCTATATTAGTCAAAATAAAATCACTGTAAACCAACAATCACATGTATAAAAATGCTATCACTCCAGAATTTTCTTGTGGCTACAACTAAATTCCTAATTTTCAACACTGAATATTAAGATAGTAGTAAAAATGGTAGATGAGTCTATTACATAGCTATTTCCACAAGCCAGTATCTAAGGTTCTAAGGGGTTAAACACTTAACTAACAAAATTAGTCCTCAATGAGTATTGGAAATGAGCTAACTTATTCAGAAAAACTGATTTAGGTAAGATGCTACAAGAATAATTCAATGTAGACATACTCTTACCACACCCTGGATGGAAAATAAAAATATGTATGTGCCTGCCTTTAAAAAACCTGAAGTTTCTAAGAACTGCAGGTGGCAGAATTTTCATAGAATCTTAAGTAGATAGATGCTTGAGAAAATTGCACCAAGCATTTATCTGCACTTCTAGCATCTGCAGTTTACCTTATTACAGCTGAAGATGGGATTTGAGCTGAAATTTTATCAAGAAAAGGCATAGCAGTGAAAACCCTTAAGTTTTTATTTGTTCATCATATAAAATGAACAAGTAATAGAAAAATTTATAAAAAATCAATCCTAATGTCTTATTGATCCATCTTATAACTTCTACATCAGTGCTTTTGGCTTTTTCATTTAGAAATAAATAAATCTTGTGTATGTAGATGACAAATTTCCTGTGAGAGAAGACTACAAATTTTCATCATATCTTCATGAAGAAGTTTTTGTTTACCTCTAAAATTATCTTCTCTAGAGAGGTTCCCTTATCAGGAAATATAACCTTACAGCATATTATTAGGTAAAGCAGCTCCCTACCAGCAAGTAAGTGGCAATGGCAACATCTTCATAAACAAATTTCTCAGGATCTGTCACTTCAGGCCACACCTTCAGGAAAAAAAAAACAGAATGAAAAATAGATAAATATTTATTTTTGGCATCATCTGAAATAACCTCAAAAATGTTCAGACACAGTAATTTGGATATTTATTCACTTCAGTAAGTTTCTGGACTTCACAGATTTTGGACTTTAACCTCATTAAAATATACCCAGAGAATATAAAGACTGTTTGATTCAACCAAACCATTAAGTTTCTAAGAACATTTTGGCTCCACATGTGCAGGTCACAAGTAAACAGCTGCACCTATTCTGTAACAGACCATGTATCTTTTGCTTAACTTTCTCATGAGAAAACAATCTGATCTATATATCTGCAACACTGAGGACATGAACATTTGTGAATTTCTTTTCACAAGGAACAGACCTGGAATTATCCTGGCACAACAGAACACAAAGAATCAAAATCTGAAGTAGGAAGACAGAAAGCTGAAGTATTATTCCTAAGTGTTACTTTGTAAATGAAGAATTGAAACAAAGACTAAAATGTGCAACAGCAGCAATTCTACTGCAGAACTAAAGACTGAATTGTTGCCTTACCCAAAACTCTAATTCTCCTCTGCTTTGTTTCTTCCTCTTAGTACAGAAATATTACCAGTAAAACATTTCAGCATTTTCACTGTATGTTTTACAAAAGCATTGATCAATTTTTTCTTTGCAGCTAGAGCCAAGTTTGCAAGAATAGAGACATTACTTCATACAGCACTCTGCTGCTCTTCAGGATCTCCAAGATAAGCAAACAAGTTACAGCACTGCTCCTCTAATTCAAACACATATTAAGATAGTATCCAAAGGTTTTGGAGAAGGAGGTGTTTTATTTATGCCTTCTAAAATGTGGATAACTATTATTCCACTGACTTACTTCTTCCTTTTTATCATAAGTGATACATCCAAATATCCAAATATTTATTGTGAATTTGGCTCTAAATCCTGCTTTTCCAATTAAGTTTGTCCAAGTACTGAACTGTTGTATTCTCTATACAATTATCAAAAAAGCCCCCCAAAAAACATACAATTCAATTGCTTCTTTAATTAAAAAAAAGAATTTATTGAAAGAAGCAGCTTCATTACACTGTAATGAAGTAAAAAAAAAAAAAAGAAGGAAGGATAATATCAGTGCATTTACTGTTTAAGCTTACCTTTACCATCTCTTTGTACTTTTCTTTGAGGTCCTGATAAACCTTGCTGTATTTTGCTACTGAAATGAGTGAGAGTGTACTTTTAAACTCACTGGGCTTTTGCTCCACAGACCATTTAGCCAGTTTGGACAAAAGTTCATTTCCAAGCCATGCTAGTTTGGGGTACACAATTCCATCTGAAAACCAATCTTCTGGAAATGGAGCTACAACAGATACAGACCTTAAAAACAAACAAACAAACAAATAATTTAGTATAAATACAACATTTCATTATTTCAGCTACCTCAAGGACAGAGAAAACAAAGATAAAATGGAGAAAACCAGCAGATCAGAGATATAAAACTAGACTGGAGAATAAGTAAATATGTAGAGAAACAATGGGAAAATAAACCAGTGAAATTATTTAATAATGGAACAGTTTCCTCTGAATTTTGTTAGCTCATTATCTCTCAATTCAAACACAGTACATAAGAGTCCATGATGCATTTAACACAATAAATGAGGACTCACAGATGATGAGCAACCTGACCTCACAAGACAGCCAAACACTAAACAGTGAAAGTCAACTTTTCAAATTCCTGAAAAATAACAAGCAAAATTAAGAGAAAAATATATCCATTGTCACAACTCATTATTTCATCATCTCTAACTTGATTCAGATTTTATTAGAGCATCCCCATATGCTCAGGACCAAACTGAATGGTCCATATTTCAATGACTAAAGCTCAGTCATTTACAGCAACTCTGGTTTGAGCCTCACCCTTAGTAACACCCACAGACCCTTTCTCACAGGCACTGCTACATCCTCATGATCAGAACAGGCACATTTTTTCTAGACCATGCAAAGGTACAGTCAATCTTTACATTCAAAGGTGAAACAAGTTTGTTTTACATTATTCTGGGTATTGTAGATGTTTCTTTTTAGAGAACACTGTGCACTCCTATCACACCACTACTGTAATTTACTAATCAAGCAGAAAATTCTAAAATCTAAAATGCCTACATACCAATATTAAACCATTGTGTGACTCTTGCAATAACTTACTGTTTGCTTCCTCTCCTCACTCCACACTTACCATTCCTCATCTTTTATGTGTTTAAGTTGAATTTGATAAATATTGCACTTTTTAACCAGGTATTTTCCTTCACTGTTTTCCTCCAAAGGCAGAAAGGTCACAGTTCCATTGTACACATCTGAAAAGATATGCAAATAAGGGTTTATTATTCCATGGTGCAACCCACCCTGGTTAGCACCAAAATGAACTTCTGCCTGCAAACCAGTGAGGTAAGAGCTAAGACAATAGAGAAAGGAGCACAAAGCCAGGAATAGATCTGCTTCTTGGTGCTCCTGACATCTGAAGCTACTGGATGATTTGAATTCTCCAAATTTAGCATTCTATGGCATGATGCTTCCAGAATATCTAGGGCTGACCAGAAGTACTCATTTTCATCAAACCTAACTATTTTAATAAAGTAAAAACTAAACAATAAGATTTTTCTAGTATACCAATATCCCACAGCAAATCCAGAGTCCTGGGAAGCAGCTGTATATGCAGTATTACTTCCTCCAAAAATTAAAAAAATCCTTTTAGCTATTGTTTACCCAGGGTGACTTCTGCAGAATAACTTCTTAGAGTTCTCCATTTTGAAAATGTTTTTTTAATTACCATCAAAACAAATGTTCTTGCAAATAAAAAAGGCTACATTGGCTTTTTTTAATCAACTTCCAATGGACTCCAAAGTTTTCTGAGTTAGACAAGAAAGAATGAATTAGCAATAAAGTAAATGTTAAGTCTTGCTATCTCATCCCATCCTTAGCAATTCCACTTCTAATATTTTTAATTGTTAAAAAAAAATAATTTAAAAAAATCTCCTAGGCTTTTTCTTAGAGCTACACTTTATAGATGCAGCTCAGGAGCATCTTCTCTTGCCATCAAAAGAAAAAAATAAATCAAAACTGCAACATATAATATTTTTTAAAGGCACCGATTTTTTGAAGGCATCAGGTAAGAATCAAAGGCCTCAAGAACATCCCAAGTGTGGCCCATAAATGACTATCAGTCTTTCTGAATTGAAAGTCAAGCTGCTTCTGGAATTCTAATTCTTTCCAAAACACTACTACTAGAATTTAATCCATATCAACATTTTTCCAAAATTTATCTTAAAAGCAGTGTCAAGTTCTACTTCAAGTAAGTTTCTTTATATTAGCAGGATTTATTGGAGCATATTACCATCATACAAAGCAAAACAAAAACAAAACAAAACAAAAAACCTCACACACATAAAAACAACAATTAAAAAACCCCCAAAAAACCCAAAAAAGCAACAAGTTGAGATTCTTTCTTAATGTGAAAAATGCTAATCACTTGTTTTTAAAATTTTAGAAGTAATAAAATGGTTATAAAAATAGCAATATAATTAGAGTAATAATAATTTGGATAATTTGGATTAGGACAATATGAGGCAATAGAAACAAAGAGTTAGGGATGTCTGGGTACCTTTTTCTGGGCAGCATAAGCCCGAAAAAGGACACCCGTTAACAGAGGATTAACTCTGAAAAACAATAATTTTTTGCATATTAATACACATCATACATGATGTATAAATTCTATTCAAACAAAGGATTCTGTCTGGCCAGCATCAACTTTTTCCTCTTAATCTTAACGGCGTCTCAGGGCTGAGAGAAGCAGGAAGAAGTTTGTTTCTTCTGATAATGGAGCAATAAATCCTTGTTCTCTGAAAGATTTAGGTGTTTTGTGGCTGCTATTTTGCTGTGAGTCCTTTCTTTAAAAAAAAGGACTCAAAACAGTCTCTATTTTAACATTATGTTATAACTTAAAACTATACTTAACACACTACTAAAAAATTAATACAGCATAACTTTCTAACATAACACATATAACATTCATTTTAATATTTGCAAAAAGCCAATCATAAAATACACATTTTTCACATTAAGCAATACTAAACATGAAGCAAGTCGAAACAGACACTTCTGCTTGGCCAGGCAGGTGCCCCAGCTGCCTGCTCTGTTCAGTAATTCCGCATTTCCCAACACTCCAGTCACCCCTGGCAAAGCTGTCATTAGGTCTGCACTACGAGCGTGGGCAGCAGCTCCTGAGTGTCACAGCTCCCTGGCCTCTGTAATCTGTCTTTCAATGCTAAAACTTCAATGCTTGCTGGCACAACAACGAAAGGTAAAAATAAACCCTAAGCACACGACAGGGACAAAAGTCCATCTTCCTTCCCACAAACGGGAGAAAAAAGGGCATTTCTCTCATGTGCGAGACAATCTCCGAGGGGACAGGTCTGCGACAGCCCCAGCCCCTCACAGCCGCGCTCCGGCCTCCCGCCACCCCCGGCGCTGTTCCTGCTCACCTTGCACCGCCAGCTCCCGGGCCGGGGGCGCGGCGGGGCGGCCCCGGGGCAGCAGCGTCCTCAGCACGGCGCGGAGCTCGCCAGACCCGCCCCAGGCCGTGAGGGGCGGTGGCGGCAGAGCCAGCTGGGCCCGCACCTCCCTCCAAAGCCGGCGCAGCTCCGCGGCCCCCGCCGTTCGCCCCTCCTGCCCGCCATCGCCCCCGCCCGCCCCCGCGGTGACCATGGACGGCGATATCTCCCCGCCCTCGCCGAGCGGCACCTTCCCCTCCGCCTGGACAGCGGCGCCGCTCAGTCTCCTGTTGGCCACCTGCGGCTTCTCCAGCCACACGCGCACGGCCGCCCAGAAGCCGCGGGGCAGCGCGGCGCCGCCGGGGTCCCGCAAGGCCGCCGTCCCCACCGGCCCCATCCGCCGCCCGCCGCCGCCGCCGCGCCAGGAGGCGGAGCGCGTCGCAGGCTGCTCCCGTCAGTTCCCGAGGCGGAGACGGCGCCGGCCGCAGGTACGTACCGGGTCCCCTGGTCCTCGCCTGCGGCTCTAAGGCTCCAAGTGCCGCAAGAGACCGCTGCCGTGCCGTCCTGCGGCTGAAAACGCGGGGAGCCGCCAGCTGCCAGCAGGGCGTGAGGCTGGAGGGTCCTCACGGCATGTGCTGCTCTTTTGGGGAAGGTCTGTGCCGCTGTGACAGCGGGCGCGGAACAGCTGCGTGAAAACGCTCCGGAGAGCAAGCTCCAGACCGGGACGGCTGACTGACAGCGGACAGTCAGCCCGGCCCATCAGAGAAACATCTCGGTACACCTTTTTTAGCAAATAACAGCACATCGTGCAGTCTGGTTTTGCCCTGTCTGAGCAGAAGCCGTGTCCCGCCGTGAATTCGGGCCGCTCGAGCAGCGGCCCTGAGGCGAACCCTCACAGAAGCGGTTCGTGCCCTGCCCGCGGTGCCCTGCTCTGGGCCCCTGCCAGCAGCAGATTGCTCGGAAATGCAGAGCCGCTAGAAAAGGAAATAAAGTAAAACACCGGTTGTATCATCTCTTGGCCATGAGGGTACAGTATCATTATTCTTGACAGCTACCAAGTGTCTGAGCTGTGTCATTATTGCGTGAGATAGTTGAGGGTCATACCCTGCAAACTGTCCTTTGCCCTTGTGACCCGTTTTTGGTGCCCGGGTATGAAATTGAATCGCTAACAGGAGCACTTTCCACGGAAAAAGGTTTACAACTCAACATTTCACAGAGGAACTGCGGCAGTTCTTTGCAAAATGAAACAACATTGTGGTTTTTACTTCCACCTTCACACACGTTTCAAAATTTCAGAGCAAGGCTGAAATTAACACTGAAGTTATTCTTTAGGACAGTCTATTGTTACTTTCCTATCGCAACCACCTTTTTGATTTCTTAATTAGTTTTGAAAGTGTTGACTTGGAGCCAAATTATATTAAAACATTGCGTGAAGTCAGAAAATTTATAATATATTTTAAGCACAGAATGCTTTTTTAAATGATCTCTTAGGTTTTCTCATTTGGGTAATATCACGGATTTGCAATGTAAATAAAGTTAGATGCAATAGCTGCAATATTACAGTGTAATTTTTTTCTCTTTTATGAGTGAAAAGCTGTTTGATTGACCTATCCAACTGCTGCCTGATTTAGCTATTTTCCAAATACAAGCGTAGTATCTGTTTATTTGGCTGGAGGTTGAAACACTTACTCAATGTCCTTTTTTTTTTATTTTTTTATTTTCTTTCTTTCCAAACCTGTTGCGCAGTACTGGAGCTGCATCTTCCTAGAACTGATTTGGAAGTCACGTGCAGAAATACTGTCCTGCTGTTCCCTTCTACTATGTTTGTACTGTTCAGAACTAGGGCATGACCTCCATAAAAGAATAAGGTTGAAAGAAAAGAGAGGTATCAAGGAGATATATCAAGCAGATGGAGTGAGGAAAGGGGTTGAAAAAGCAGACTGCTGAAGTAGTTTCTGTACTTCATTACGTTTAAAGTCTCTAGTGAGCCCTTGGCCAGCCCTGGGCCACGATGTCCCGCCTGTACCTTTGAGTTGCTTCTTTCAGCCGGTCCTTCTGCTGCCCTGTCCGACGGTTTCTGCTCCCTCCAGGCGCAGCAGAGATCTCTGCCCCTGTGAGGTGCCAGGGATCGCTGGGAGTGCCGTGAGCAGCAGAGGGCTCTCCAACACCAGCTTCTGGCAGCAGCAGAGGATCAGCCGCTATTTCTTTGGTCCATGAAAGTCACGATTCTTCTCTCTCTCCCCCGAAGCAGTGCAGTTGTACCTCCTGACAGGGAAATCCTGCAGGTTCTGTGCAGTTTTGTAGTGCTCTTGCCTGACCCATAGATGCACACAAAGTTGCCAGCAGACTTCATGGGGCCTTACTCCATTTGTGGTTTAAGACATGGTATTTTCTCACCTTTTATCACCCCCTTTCTTAATACACAATATGGTGATAACCAGTGGTGTGTCTGTTTCATATTTAGCTCATATTTTAATAACAAATATGATTTAATTCTTTACATTGGGTAAAAGGCATTTTTTCTTTGTATCGAGCCAGTTGAATTAGAAAAAGGGAAGGGCAAGATTTTAGTTGCCTCTGCAGTGCTGTACTCGTGCATTTGAACAAGTCTATGGATTCAATTAACACCTCTTTTAATTTCTTTTTATAACTAACAATCCGATATCTGTGGTGCTTCAGTTTGTGTTTTATCTTTTCGTTTTTGCTGCAGTTTAGCTAACAATGAATCAGAAAGAAATGACTGGCAACCAAAACTCAGGGGATAATTTGCTGGCAGATTTCCCTCAAGGCCCCCTTTCCAGATACCGTAAGAAAGCTTCCTTCAACTGGAAGGAGATGGCACTTTTCATAGATGGTGAAGATATCATCCAGCTGAAGGTAAACTTGGCAAGAATTGTAGGCATGTTTTAATTGTGCAGGTACCAGTAGAACTAAGTATGTTTTTTTTTAAAGGGAGTATAGTTAATAATGCTCTGTAAATATGGAGCATGAAGGAATTTGATTTGCACAGCTAATTTTCAAAACAGAGCTGAATTTTTAAGCAATCTATTGTGCTGTGTCATAAGACTCATTGAATTACTGAACATCAGTACAGGGAGATCAGCAGGTGCAACATTCCAGAACTTGAGTGTTCATTTCAAACTGAGAAATAACTATATTCTACCATATTTCTTTACTGTTTGCTTTAAATCATAGATCACATGATTTTGCAAGGCACTTATGCAGAGCTACGTTCAAGCCACCATCAAACAGTATTTCTGTCTTACTTTGACCTAATTTCCAATGTTATGTGCTTGCATTAATGTTTATGTGGCATTGCAATTGGAGATTAGCATGTGAACCTTGCTGAAAGCTAATCCTACCAAGAAAAGAGATTACCTGCAGCACCAGAGATGGTGTGGAAATGCATGACTTGGAGATACAGAAAGAGAAAGAGCTAACTTTCTGAAGGTGGTGTAGATTTACATAGATTTAAGTAATCTTGAATCTTCACCATAATTATAAACATCCTAGCAGGTAGATCAGAGAAATCAAAAAGGCCTGGTTTTGCATCTGGCTGGTGTGTGTTACAGCAGAGATAAAACCTCAAGTGTTCTGTGTCTGGAGTTTCAAAGCTGTGTGGGCATGTAGAGATGCTTACACAGAGAAAGGGAATGACTGCCTTTCAAAGGAAAGCACAGGAAGTCTGGATTTCTTCCTTCCTATGTGAAACACAATTAAGAAGGTGTGGATATCTTGAAGACACAGGTCTGGGATAAAAAAAAATGCCATAGTATATTACCTAATACAAAAAGGATCCAAATTACAACATTAAAAGATGCACAACCCCACATTGGAGGGCTGCATATGGTGGTTCCATTAAATGGAGCCTTTTTTTACTTTCATCTGGGAACAGAGCAGTTGTGGTAGCCTAATGGTTTTACCATCATGGCATATTTCTAACTGAATGTAAGCCCTGGAGTTTTACCTTTATCCTCAGACTGAGAGACTTTTGCCCCTTGGATTCTGCCAGCAGCTTCATGTATTGAGATAGTGAAGCTGCTACAGAAAGCAAGTAAGTTTTACCATACTGTTCTTGTAGGTTCAGAGTGAATCACTTCATGGTGAAGGAGATGTCATAGAATTTAGCTGCATAAGCTGTATATATGACAGATAATTTATTTCCTAATCCTCTGGAATTTTTACTTTTTAAGTTTGTACCTTCCAGCAAACAATTGTAGTTTGAGACCCAGTGTTACTTTGAAGGATGTTAACAGGTTTTGGTAATGATTTTAGGTCAGTATTCTCATGTCAGTTTTTTCCTCTCCAAGAACAGAATCTTCTCTGCTCTGGAAAATGATCCTCTCTTTGCACATCATCCTGGAGAAGATTTGTGCCGTGAGAAGTACCAGGAGCTGACCTTCCTGCGCTGCAAAAGGCTCTTTGAGTACGAGTTCCTCACTCAGCAAGAGATGATGGAGGACCCATTAAGGCTCTTTCATATGGTGATCTTTATAGGAATGTATGATTGGTCTCTGTGTCTCAAGTTTTTCTTACATTCTGGTGTAAGTACAGTTCAATGGCTATAGTAGTGTATGTTTGAATTTAAGTAACTTCTAATACCATAATTTTGTTGCTTTATGCCTATCTTATTAAAACTTGATCTTTTCCTCGTCCTTTCTTTTCAAGAATGGTATTAAGTTTTAGCTGGTTAGAGCAGTCAGAGAGCTGTGGGTAATCTTTGTTGTTAAACCCCTGTCTCCACTAGAATCCCACCTGGAAAGTAAAGGTGAAACAGTATAGACAGAGATACAGAAAAAAATTTTTGATGCCTTCTTTTGTTTACTGCTCTGCTTCCTCTCTAGGGTAGCCCAAGAACTTGGTTGTTGGTGGCTGTGTGTTTGCTAAAGATTTGCAGGTATCAGAAACTTACCTGCTTGAGCTCCAGTGTCTTAATGAAGGGCAGAATCCAGAAGGAATGAAAAGCAGTTTAAAATTTCTCACTGGCATCAGTGGCTGAATTCTGTTAATCAGTTGTTTCCCAGATTGGTCTCTCACAAAGAATGCTCAACATAGCTGGTCAAATATCATCAGTTTAATAAATTAATTAATTATTACTATTCACACAGCTGGAGACCATCTAGGAGTTAGAGTTTTGTTATGTGAATATCCACATGGGAAAACTGAAGGCAGCTTTCAAATCAGCATTCTTGTTTGATGCTGAAGCAACTACTTTTCAGTTCTCAATCTGTTTGCAGTAAAATGAACTAAAATAGTCTTTAAGTTTTCCTTTGCTCAAGGGAATATCACTAAGGACAAGTGGAAAATATTTCTAAGCAATTGCTATGAAGGCTTGAACAAGTTAGAGCTGGGACAAGTTCAGTCATCTGTAAAGGGGCCTTGACAAGATCAAATCCT